ATATATATATATTCTCAGTCTCAGTTGTGTTTCTTGCCATTTTAAATTGCAGCATGTGAGAAGCCACTGGCTCTGTGGAGCCAACTGCAGTTTACTAATAGCACCTTCTTACAAAGTGTTGAACATTAATTAGTGTTTATTTAATGTCACCGGACTGGTGGGAGTGTGTTGCAGTGGTACTGAGGCAGCAGTGGCAGGTCTGGCTGGGGCTGCCCTGCCAGAGGGATGGGGGCAGATCTGTTTGCTAGCACCAGCTTTGGGCTTAGCTCTTGGTGAGGCAAGAGGACCAGAAGTCACCAGCTGGGAAGGAGTGTTGCTTTGCTAGGCCAGTTTAGGACAACAAAAGGGACAGCCATCTGGAGAGGGATCAAGAACCAAGACTCTTCCCAAGTCTTACATCCCTAGAGGTCCCTCTGCAGCAAGTGTCAGGAAAACTAAATGTAGGGGAAGAGATCGACTGACCCCTCCATGTGCCCCTCTGGTGCTTCAGGCATTTCCAGAGCTTTTTCAGGATCTGGCAAGACTTGCTTCCCTACAAGGTGTCTGATCCATGCTACTCTGCACAGCAAAACCTAGCTGCAGGAGAGAGAAATGCCTCTAATATTTTCTTCCTTTTATTTAAATCTCCTTGCCTATTTCATCCACAGCCTGAGTGCAAAGCTACGTGCCGTGTTAGGAAACAGAAGACCTTTGTCTTTTTGTAAAAGCAGGGAAAAGAATGTTTTGGGATTTCAGGCTTGTTTGGGTGAATCTCATCTTTCTCCCCACTATGTGTGATTTGTAGCATAGATACTTCTGACAGCAAGAATGCCTCCTATAGTATGAAAGAAAGAAATAAAGAACAATAATAATAGAAAACACATCAGCATTTTGGATACCTTTCCCTCATGTCCAGATGAGTAGCTCAGCTACTGGAAATACCAATGGTACCTTGTTCCCAGTAGAGACAACAGCAGATGGTAAATGCTGTTCAGATAGGGCAAAATACTTACATATGCTTAATTCAAGACTTGGAGAGGTGAAGGAGGCTTGCTTCTTCCTGGGTAATTTTATAATGGAACTCTTGACTCATTATTTCAGTGAAAAGGGTTCCTCCCGTGTCCTTCAAGGCTCAGAGCTGAGCCAAGAAAGACAACCTTGTAAACAGTCAAAATGGCATCTTGTGAAAATGAGGATTTTTAATTAGGTTGAGTTAGCCACGTTACTGCACCTCAGTGCATCTTACTTGTCCTGTCTCCAGACTCCATTGGAAACTTTTCTGTTTGTTGCTCACTCCAACTTTATGTTTATGTGTGTGTGTGTTGCAGACCCCCGAGTGGCTGGATAGTGACTCCTGTCAAAAATGTAACCAGCCTTTCTTCTGGAACTTCAAGCAAATGTGGGACAGTAAGAAGATAGGCCTCAGGCAGGTTTGTATGTGTCCTGTGTTGTGTCAACATGGTGTGATTAGGCTTTGCTCTCATAATACATGGCAGCAACCTCTTCTTCCCTAACGCCTTGAGAACTTGCAGTTTGCTCTTCCACAGAGTGCTCAGTAGTGGGACAGTGGGCTCCCTTCTGGTGAGGCTTCATCTTGTGTTTGGGAGGAACACACTTCTTTTTTTCTTCTATTTTTTCTTCCTGTTCCTTGGTTTGTTGTTTTTGTTTTGGGTTTTGGGTTTTTTTCCCCAATAGCAAATGCTTGTAATTGCCCTAGGGCTGAGTAAATCGGTTTGGGGTTTTCTGTGGCTTCAGCCATGTGTGATTTTGCTTATTGTTAGTTGAAAATGTTGTAGAAAGAAACTTGCAGCTGGTTTTTTGAGATTGTGCTGGAAGCAAAGCTGTTTTCAATGAACTTGGGTAAACATCTGTAACTGCTCAGGCTGTTGGAAAAGGCTTAGTGGAGCGCTTGGAACATACCACTGTGTTTTCCTGCCCAGCAGGAGAGGGCTGCAGATCACAGGCTTTTGGGAGAGGGGCATAAAAATGCTGAAAGGGATGTTCTTATGAAGCTTGGAGAAGTCAAGTGTGTGGGGCAGAGCTGAGCTCATCACCACAGAGCCTGGCTGTCCTGTGGCTGGTGAGGTAGCCTTGGGGTCCTACACAGGCAGAGCATGAGAAAGCACAAGGCGGTGGCGTCAGACTGCAGAAACACCAGAGCTTCTGGGGCTGAAGATGGCCAAAGATGTTGGCTGAGATTAATAGGTGGTAGATATTTATACTTACAGGCTGGGATGAGACTACAGAATGACACTGTGCTAATGGAGTCCTCTCCTACCTTGACCTGGAGATGTCTGAATATGTCAAGTGCTGCTGAGTGTTGGTGTCATCCCCTACACCCCCAAAGCGAGACTCCCTGGTACAGGGGTAATTGCAGCTCCCAGTGCTGGGACAGATGGCTGCCTGGCAGGGACACCTCCTGGGTGCATAGCACCTGTCCTCCCAACTCTAGCAGTACTAACAAAACCAGGACAGCTTGGACTTCCTTATTCTGCCTTCTACCCCTTTGAAAACCCCCTGTAACACTGGTCACACTCCTTGTGGAAGCCCTGGCCCACAGCTACATGCACAGATGCCAAGTGGTGGAGGCAGTGATGATTTACTGGTGGTGTATGGTGTTACCCTGGAGCCTGGGAGAGAAGTAGAGCCTACCTGGGTAGTGCTTTGTCTGCCACATCCATGCTAGTGATCAGTTGTTGCTTGTCCCAGGTAGTGGAGGAGGGGAAAAAAGGAAGAGCTCCTGAAGTCCTTGCCTATTTCCTTTCATCTTCCCTGCAAGTCACCTTCTTGTTTGCTGCAGCCTCCGCTGGGTCTTGCTGGAATGAGATGGCACAGCCAGCGGGCCCTGAGCAGTGAGCTGGGTGTGTTGCTGAAGTTGTGTTTCCCCGCGTTGTCTCCCGCAGCACCACTGCCGGAAGTGCGGGAAGGCCGTGTGCGGCAAGTGCAGCTCCAAGCGCTCCTCCATCCCCCTGATGGGCTTCGAGTTCGAAGTCAGGGTCTGCGACAGCTGCCACGAGTCTATAACAGACGAGGAGTAAGTGTGGGCACTGGACTGAGTGGGGCAAAACTGCTGCATCTGGTAGGGCCTGAGTGGATGCAGGGCTCTGGGAAGGAGCAGCCTGCTGGGGAGGTCCCCGGGCT